TCCCTATCCCCGGTGAGTTGGGGGTGGCCATGGGGACGTGCAGAGAGGCACCCTGGAGCTCTGCATGTGGTATAAGCAGGGCAAAGAGTGGTGATAGGCACTCATCTGATGGTGGAGTAGGATTCTGGAGCACTTTGGGGGTGCCCAGGGATGTGTCAGTCAGGTGGCTCCCCTATAGTGGGGTAGGGCAGGCTGGGAACCATCTTCCTCTTGAGCCATAGCCACCCTTGTGCCCACAAGGCAGAGATTAGTCCATATCCTTTTGTTCCTGGGCTTGTGTTGGTGTGGGTGCTCTCCTGCTGCAGGGTTCGGGTGCTGTCACCAGCACTGATGGGCTGGGTCAGGCTGGATGGAGACTTGCTCGCCCTGTTTAACTGGGCTTTTACCCCACAGGCACTGGGGAGACCCCCACACTGAGCACTCTGGACTTCTACATGGCCAAACTTCACAGTGCCATCGAGAGCAACCCACTGCAGCATGAGAAGCTGGTGGTGCGCATCAAGGAGATCCTGTCCCGGATAGCCAGGTGAGCTGCTGTCCCGGGTGTCCTGGGGAGCACTGGGGCAGCCCATGGCAGGGCTGAGCAGTGAAGAGGGGGATAGAGAGGGGCTTGGAGCTGCTCCAGAGCTGTGGGAGAGAGAAGCTTCCCCCCTGTAACTCAGCTTTGCTTTTCTCCTCTTCAGCGAACACTTGTGAAGGGGACCAGTCCCTGCGGAGCCCGGGGCTGGCCGGACCCTGGCCCTGTCCCTTGGAGCTCACACGAGGGACAGTCTCTGCTGGTGGTCCGGTCCTTCCCTCTCCACCCCTTGCTGGAGGTGTGAACAGGGACCCCCTGGCCCTGGGGCACCATCTCTGAGGACCTCGAGCTTCTGGGGACCAAGCGGTGACAGGGCTGTGAGGGACATGGTGTGGTGGCTGTGAGCACCCCCCCTACTCTCTGTGAGCTCCCCAGATCCTGCTGCTCCAGCTCAGAGACACCCCAAAGTCTCCTTGGTGCTGGATGAGGTGCCTGTGGGTTTCAGCCTCTTCCAGCATGCCACAGTGGCTGCTTTTAACTGGCCTGTGCTGGAAGAGAAGCAGCCAGGTACCTCCTGACCCCTGGAGCAGCCAAGGGAGCCTCTTGCTCCCCTGTCCTGCAGTGCTGAGGCGGCACGTTCCCTTCTGCCCACCTCTTGCTTTATTTAATCTTCTCCATGGGTGCCTTCAGCCCCCTGCCTGTCACCTCCTTCCCCCGGCTCTGGGACCAGGCAGGGCAGCTCCTGCCCTCTGCACCAGTGGAGGCAAAGACAAAGTAATCTTCATTCTGGAGGGAGAGCTGGGCCCGAGCCCATGCACAGGCTCTGGGCTCCTGCCC